GGGACCCGCGCCGGCGGGCTGCAGCTGGGCACCAGCCTCTTCAGGGACACGGGCGGCCCCCGCCGCCATCACCAGCACCTCCAGCCTGCCGGCGAGAGCAGCGACCACGACTACGCCCTGCCCAGCTCCCGGCCTCCCGGCCTGGAGGAGGAGTGGGCGGCCCCCGGCGGGATCTGCCTCCACGTGGACCGGGATCAGGTGTCGGTGGAGTTCTGCTCCATCTGTGCTCGGCGAGCGGCGGCCTCCTTCAAAATGTAGGGTCAAGTACCTGCTGCAAGTACTCGTGGGGTTCTCGCCCCTAGGGGCCTCGCGTCGTGGCGGAGGAAGCAGGCGATGGTGCGGAGGAAAAGAATAAATACAGTGGTGATGGGGTGGTATCGGGGGAGATGCAGAGGAGGTGGAACCTGGCGCTTAAGTGGCCGGGGTAACAAAACAAAACGAAACAAAACAAAACAAAATCTCTTGAACGGCACATTGGGAGCCAGATGGCGGCCTTGGTCAAAGGTCCCGTAAATCTGGCGCGTGGACGGTAGTGGTCTGAGCCTGTTTGGCCTAAGAGTCGTGCAAAGCTGCGTACAGCAGTGCGATAATTATCGTGCAAACTGACACGCGCGTGTACACGCAGAGGTGCCGGCCAGCGCCCGTTTGCAGCACTTGGGTGAAAAGATCATGCCGACCTGACGCATGAAGGTGTGCTCGGTTCCACTTCGCAGTTGCCAGTAAAGATAACGCTGACTACCCGGTCTTGAGTCAGATAATGTCTAGCCTGCTTATCCTGAGGAGCCGAAAATGCTTGCTTAGAAAACCAAACCAAAAACTTCATTAAGACATCGTCACTGGACAGACTTAAGAAAATAGTAATGATCGGCAAAAGAAAGCATGCATATAAAATTGTACTGCATCTCAGTTATACATTACTATTAAAACCTCTCTGACAGTTTCTCTTTTAGGTGCTTGCCCTGCCAGGCTCCGTTGTGTAGGGGTTAAAGAACAGTCGTTTTCCACCTCGCAACCTGGTAAGGATCAATATATTCCCATAATGCGGTATCAGACAGCTTGCTTTGCTTATGCCAGTCTCTTGTAAATGACTGGTTCAGGAAATGATTTCTCTGGTCCTTGGCCTACTCTGCCAGAATGTTTCTAGCTCTGGATGATAACTGATAGTGAAAATTACAATCACGTCATTCTGATTAGCGTTTTTCCTCTTTTCCTTTTTAAAATGAATATGCACATAGTAGCCAATGCATGAGCTGTGTTTTCAATTAAAAAAATGAATGCTTATGCCATTTGAAGTAGGAATTTTTTGTTAAACTAAGTATCTGGTGAGCTGAAAAAGGGAAAATACGCTAATAAGGGGGATGTGACACTTACAGCTTTTTATCATAAGGGGACTGTCCCAAAAGTGTAAGTAAATTGCTTTTTAATTGGGAAAAAAAAAAAATTGTGACCTGTTGGTTTAAAATACTGTCTAGTGTCAGGGATGCACGGTACCTTTAAAAAGTCCTTCTCTAGCTTGCTCTAATTCATGATGCGGAGTTTTCCCCGATTAAACAGAACCTGAACGTTGGTTATATCTGTACAGTGGAATCCTAATGTAGAGGAGTCACTTTTTTGCATGGACCTCTAACGAGAATTGCGGTTTGAAGAATGCAGTGCATCGAAGTAACTCATTACTTTAGCTTCCCATAAGTAAATCTCTGTGCCCGTGCACACTGAAATTCCTATGTTACTTCAAAGTCGCTTTAAATTTTAAAGATATTGCATGTATATGCATGTGCTTAATTTTACTGTAGAGTTCTTAATTTAGCCTCTTACAGTATCCAGCAACCTATAACTTTATACAATTAAGCACAGTTTGAAGATGAGCAAATCTGTATCTTGAGGCTAATGATTTGAAAAATGCTCCATAATTAACTGAGATAGGAGGAAAAATAGTTTGACAACCAGTAGCGTGTGTTTTCTTGTACTAGTCAGTGTTTCTCCCTATCACAAAAGACGAGGGGGTTGTTTTTTCAGTTGTATTATAATGTTTAGGTTGTTTATCTGTATGTCAGTTGGGGGAAGAAGGATTGTGAAAATGATAATATGTAAAGTGAGGTTTCACAAAGAATCGACTTTCCTAAAACGGTTTCATTTAATAACTTTAAAAAAAGATTCTATTTAGTGTTTCTGAAGTCTCGTTCCTTAAAGCCTTAAATTTTGTGTTTAAGGCTGAGTAGAAGGTGAAAGCGTTTTCTCCCAGTCATTTGCTTCAGTGGTGCTAGACCCTATCGAGCATGCATCAGTATAAAAGGAGTTTGATTTTTCTTTGTGAAACATCACTGTGTGATAAAGTATATGTGTATTTAGCATCCTTGTTTTTCTTTATGCTAAAGTGGATTCAGCTGTGTTGGGGCAGAAGAGACGGGACCAGCTGCTGGCCACATTTCCTGCTTTATTTTAAAAGGTAGTATAAGAAATGAGAATAAAGAGGTAACAGGGCTTTTGCTGTCTTTCGTTTTAAAAAAAAAAGAAAAAGATTGAATGCTGGGATCATTTACTGTCATCCAAGATGGTTTTTAAAAGACAATATCCTATCAAACAGGTTTTACTGCAGCGTATGCAGAATTCCATCTGTTCAGGGTATATTGCCAGTACAAAAGAGGTTTAGTGGGGTATGTGTTACCTTACACCCCTCTGGTGGCATCAACAGGACTGTTCAGAGTTTCAGCCGTAAGTTGTGTAACCCTGCTGTAATTGATGGGTTATACCAGTGCCACAGGAATCAGAGTTAACGGTCAAGACCCGTACTGACTGATACCCAAAATGGAAATAATTGAGTTAGATTCAGCCTAGGCTCAGTCCGCCTAGCTCAGACTTCATGAACATGCTTTATTTTGAAGTTCTAACATGCCTGATGAAAAGAGAAACGCTACTGTAGCAAGTATGGGACGTTACAACGGCATTTTTACAGTTACTTCAGTGTAGAAGTGTTTTTTAAGTTAACTTAAATATGCATCCTTTCTTTTTGCATCACTGCTAAATGGTAGAGGTCAGGGACTTAGTTCTGGTCTCTGTTGCGAACCTGCACATCGCTCTAGTCATGAAACTACCTGTGAGCTGTGTCTTGAGAGTAGCTGATTTTCTGACATGCAAAATGATGTATACCAGTACAAGAACAAGGTCAAGTCCCAAGAAAGTAAGTGGCTGCAGGCATTTCTAGTGCCTACTGAACCTTATTTAAACCAAATAGAGGGGAGGAAGTTATTTGAAATTCTAACCGACTGTACTATCTGTATGGTGTATTATTAATGTAGCTTTTTTAAGTGGAAGCCTTGAAATGACATAACTTAATACTTGAAAATATATTGTAAATGTTTCTTTGTAATTATGTGCCATCCAGATAAGAATACAAGATCATAATAAAATCAGACTTGTTGATCTTTCAGTTTATGGGCTCAAATGTTTTTTTCATCTTTTTCTTCTCATTAATGCCTTGCTTTAATTGAGTGGGTCGTTACACCAAGTGGGAGAACAGAAAGGGGAAAATGCTGTTGCTGCTCTCTGTGTGGGTCGTCTGTTGGAAAACAAGATAAAACGGAGCAGGGTATCCAGGAGAAATGTTGTTACTCCTCTGTCTTTCAAGTTAAGTTTGTGGTGAGGACAAAACGAAGGCCTTGTTCCCCGAACTAAAGATAGAATTGGACTTCTGAGAATCACCGCTCCTCCTATTTTACAGTTGTTTTTCTTTCTGAATATTTTATTAACATGGCTATGTTTGATCAATAAACCATGGAGGAGGTGAATACTTGCATAAATGCTTCTGTGGTCTGTTGGCATCTTCCTGCTTTCTGTCCCATTTTTAGGTTCTGAAGTTTGGTGACTAGTTAATGATATGCTGTTAAACCATAATCTGTCATCAGATTGTTCTGTGATAAACGCTGGAATGAGTAACAAAAGGTTTGAGGGTGCGGAAAGGACAGAACATCTGTAAAGCTCCGGAGTGAGCCATGCACTGTAGTCCTTGATTTCTCTTAACCTTAAATGCTTTATTTGTAGAGAGCAGTTTAAAAGAGTGTGCTGGCTTTCTAGCATCCAGGCATTCTAGTGAAAGTAGTCTGCAGCTTGATAAAATGGAACATTTAAAAAAAAAAAAAAAAATTGCTTAAAAATTCAATAGCGTACTGACATGCTCTGCCTTTTTGGCCTCCGGTTGTGGAAAATACCCTGTTCAGCGTTGACATTGGTGTTTGTGTGCACCACAGAACCAAGTGCCGGCAGTGTTAAACTGCATGGCCGTGCTACCTTCATTTCCCAGTATTTCTCCACACCCCCCGCCCCCAGTTGCTTGAAGGACTTTTTAGCATTTAAGTAAGAAACAGTTCCGTGCTCAGTTCTGTGTTAGTCCTTTACAGTTTGATTCTGGTGCTTGTGACTCTTGGTAGCATTCTAAATTAACTTCTTGCTCTTTCCTCTGAAGAGCTTAGCAGCATCCAGGAGGAAAAAAAAAAAAAAAAAGAAATTGGTGTTTCTGCAACCTCTAGCTGCCTGGAGAGATGATACTAAAGTAAATGTGGGGAACCGTATTCCAACACTTGGCATCTGTTGCCACTTCCAGATGATCAGATTTCTCATGCTGCTGGGCAAAACCGTAATCGGTTTCCCCTGTGAAACACGGAGATCTCTTGCACAACACAAAGGCCTTTTGTAAATTTACTGGTTTTTAAAACCTTAGTTCTCTAGAGCTTGTTGTTAAAGAAGTTTTCTGCGGGAACGAACAATGCTCTGTTTATAGGGTTGTATTTGCCGTTACGTTAGGCTGTAAATGTCTCGGGGATATACTAGGTACGGGGGTTGTTCAAATGGGCTCTGTTTAAAGAACGCCCCGTGTAAAGTTGTACATTGACAGTAGCTGACTGTGCAGATTTCCCCTGTTTAAGCAGGATACGCAGATTTGGAGAAAGAATTCTGCCTTTGCTCATTAGCAGGAGGATGCTGGGAGTGGGCACAGGGGAGAGGAGGGTATCGTTCGCAGGGGGCTGTGGAATAGATTGTAACGTTGAGATGCGGCATCAAGAATGGCTGTAGACAAGAATCAACAGGAGTTGATTCTTGCCTACAGCCAGTCTCTCAGCATTCTTTTGGCAGGAGCTCAGACCTGGAGTAGCCAAAAGGCCATCGACAGAGGTTACGTGTTAGACACAAGCGTTCTAAGAACGCAGTAGAAGTTATTGCCGCGGTACGGCGTCAGCAGTGGGATAGTTTCTGCTGAAACAGTAGCAGAAAGGATCCAACTAAAACCTGCTCTAACTCACATTTCCAGGCGGGGAGGCAGTGTTTGCAAGGAGTTTGTGACAGTTGTAGGAGGCCGAGAACCGGTAACGGCTCGTCCTTTGACTTGTGGAGCTGTACAAGGTACGTTGTACCCCGCGTATGACATGGGGAACGGAGGGAACGTTTCCAGATTTCCGTGAGGACGCTCCTTCACGTGTGTGTGTGCTCAAGCTCACTGACAGCACCTCAGTGTCCTGAATTGTGAAACAGTTTCAGTCTTTACTCTTTAACTTAGTTCTGAGAACTTTTCTTTTTCCATGGGTGTTTAAGGAGAGGTACGCAGGGTACAACTGAAAACTTTCCCTTTTTATACGACGTCTTTCTTGCCTAAGGAGCATATAGGTGACCTTTGACATGGTCAATGCCCACCACTTAAAACACAGATTTGCAATTTGTGTATTCATCAGTGATGCTGGAAGCAAACAGCGGTCTTTGCAACTTCCTAAAACCATTGAGGAATGCGTTCTTTGTTCGTGTTACATACACCTTCACCTTTCGCCCTAAGAAATTGCTGTCTAAAAAAATGGGGCTTGTCCAAGTCAGATCAGTAAATAGCAGAGCATGCATTTTGATTACTCTCAGAGAAATTATCATCACTTGAATTGATACCAAAATGCAAATAATACAGAAGACGGGTTTGAACGTCACTTTGTAAATTTAAAGTGCTAAGATCTGTTTATAATGTCTTAACTCTATCTCGTTAAGCACTCACAAGAACAATTTTTGTTCTTAAAGATACTATTGCAAACTAACAGCTTTATGTTATCACAGGTAAGTGGCTCTGTTGGTTGAAGTCTGCTGACTTCTGGAGATCCCATAATTCACTCTCTTGTAAAATACTTGCTCCGTGAGAATCTCTGAAGTGGGGGTGATGAAGGTAAGGCCAAACCGGCCACCACACGACGCAACAATACGCTGAATTAAGGAAAACTCAGCGAACTTTAGGTAAGAACTGCTGCAGGGGCAGTCTGCCTCTGCTGCTTCCCTGCACCAGCCAGGCCCCTACGCCTGGTTACGGGAAATGGTCTGCCTGCTGTAACAACCGATCTGTTAGGAAAACAGTAGATAAGCATGGTGAAACTCCTTTAATACAGTTTTCAGCAGGGCTAGAGCATAAACTTTAAACCAATTCAATTATAGGTCTCAATGCTGAATTCTTAATTCTCATCAGTAAATATTTCCATGTGCATCTCTGGGGGTATGAGAATTTGATTGATGTGTATGTGGTTGCTGACCAGTCATCATACAGGTTTTACAGTTAAGACCTAACATCAGATTGAGATGACTTCTTCTGTAGAAATAAAATCCTGATTTAGTTCTCAAACTGAAGAGATCTCCTGCAGTAGGAAAACCAGCAATTTATATTGCTCTAGAACATACAGTCGCCAGTGCGAAGACAAGCCTGATGCGTAAGTGAAAGACTCCAGCCCACTAATCACAGAATCACAGGGCTTGGAAGGGACCTCGGGAGATCATCCAGTCCAACCCCCCTGCTCAAGCAAGGTCACCCAGAGCAGGTTGCACAGGACATCATCCAGGCAGGCTTTGAATATCTCCAGAGGAGACTCCACAGCCCCCCTGGGCAGCCTGTCCCAGTGCTCTGTCACCCTCGAAGTAAAGTTCTTCCTCATATTCAACTGAAACCTCTTATGTTTCAGTTTGTGCCTGTTGTCCCTTGTCCTGTCACTGGGCACCACTGAGAAGAGCCTGGCTCCATCCTCGTGACACCCACCCTTAAGATATTTGTATGTGTTGATGAGATCCCCTCTCAGTCTTCTCTTCTCCAGGCTGAACAAGCCCAGCTCCCTCAGCCTGTTCTCCTAGGGGAGATGCTCCAGTCCCTTTATCATCCTAGTTGCTCTCCTCTGGACTCCCTCTAGGAGTTCCTCATCTTTCTTGAACTGGGGAGCCCAGAACTGGACACAGTACTCCAGGTGGGGTCTCACCAGGGCAGAGTAGAGGGGGAGGAGAACCTCCCTCGACCTGCTGGCCACACTCCTCTTAATGCACCCCAGGATGGCATTGGCCTTCTTGGCAACAAGGGCACATTGCTGGCTCATGGTCAGCTTGTCGTCCACCAGGACTCCCAGGTCCCTCTGGGCAGAGCTGCTTTCCAGCAGGTCAAACTAATCGCAAAACTAGAGGTAGCTGAGACACCACGGTAACAGCACCAGCCCCGTCAGGCCTCTCAGCACAGTTCCTTGCTTCAGGAAAAGACAAATCTCAAGGCAAACTGGTTGCAAGGCAAAAGTTTGATCTGACTGGGCTTTTTTTTGGGCACTTCTATCATGCTGGGAATTCCGATGCGAGTGTCACTCCTGCTTGTTCTGCGATAGCAGTGTGCTCTGCAGTGTATGGAGTGACCCTTGTTTGATCTGACTGGGCTTTTTTTTGGGCACTTCTGTCATGCTGGGAATTCCGATGTGAGTGTCACTCCTGCTTGTTCTGTGTGTGCTCTGCAGTGTATGGAGTGACCCTTTTAACAGCCTAAACGGGGTAATCTTGTGACAAATTCTGCGCTAGCAGAATGGGAGAAAGTTCAGGGAGAAAAATACTCAGATTTTGAGGAATCTAGAAAAAAAATTGCCTTGACCTGTTCCCCCTCCCCCCGTTTGTTTTTTTTAAATCACTGTGCTTTGCAGTATGAAGAAAAAAAACCCTTTTTCAGTAATACTCATTTATACACCTTCTAAAAGACGTGGCATTGCCTCAGAGCCAAACACTAGGCAGGCAATATAAATGCTTGTTCTTTCCCCTTGTTTCCAAAGAAAAACCACCTGCCCTTATAAAGCTGTTATTCAGGTGTATACACCAAGCTGGACATAATCATAGAATTATAGAATGTTTTGGGTTGGAAGGGACCCCTAGAGGCCATCTAGTCCAACCCCCCTGCAGGAGCAGGGACACCGCTAAC